GCCCCACTGCTCATCTCCACATTCTCCTTACCCAAGCGTAACACACACCGCACTGCGAGTTACCCGTGGCTTGCATTTGCTCGCAAAAAACATCCCCGCAACAAAAAAATTCGCATTGGCATTAGCAAATACACACGTACACGAACACACTCTACGTGTGGACATTCTCGAGGCGAACAAAACAACAAACGCCGACCGCGCTCTGCGTCGTTCGCGCAACGTCAAACACTCCTGCGCCACGCATGCATCGCTGCTCTAACGCGCTCGCATAGCACCCTTTGCATACGTCCTGCAACGTAAAAGCAACTACCGTCCAAGCGCTAGCATACGGCAGATGCAGCCGTGCTGTGTTGTCACGATCACGAACTTAAAGCACTACACGGACGTGTTGCCATCAATCGTGGGCACGTCTGCTCAGGGTGCGCTCCACAGACAACAAAGATTTACCACTCTGCCCAGGACAACTGAAAGCAAGAATATGCAAACCACGCGCGCAAACCTGCCCGCCTCTCCAACGCATATCTTTCCAAGAGCTGTACTCTACGTACAGCCCTTTAGAACTCAATACATCGCTCTATTGCCAAAATCACTTCAGTGCATGACGTTCTTGTCAAGGTTTTTTGGAGCTGTCGAAGGCCTCACGCAAATTATTTGCACAAGAGGCGCTACACTGTGTAGCGACAGACTGACGGGCACTTTGCCATGTGTCACCAGCGTGGCAAAGGAGTAAGCTTCAAATAACGACGCGCCGCCATTAGTCCTTTGGAGACGTGAAATCGTTAGAGCTAGGTTAACCAGTCACATGTAGTGTTGTTTACTTAATACGAAACGAGCCCGTGCCATCACGCCCTGCTGTTCCCCGTCTCCTCCGTAGGTAATATTGTCCAGTTTTTGATATGCAGGTCCACGGAAGAAATGACGCAGCTACGCGATGCAGTCGAACGAAGGATGACTGAAAACAGAAACATCAGGATGCTGCTCTTAGTCAGGGTGCACACAGGTTCTGCTGCACCGCGTAAACTCAGAAAAAAAACGACAAAAGCATTGTTCGCACTTCGCCTGGTGAGAATTCGCGCACCAAACACCCAAGCACTGCTTGAAAGTCGCCGCGCTCTTAACCCACCAGTGACCATCTACTCACAGCTCACCAAACACCACCCTCCATAGCCGTTCAACAATGCTTGATCGCCAAAAGCCCACAGCGCCAGTGCAAATGCACCAAAGCTACTCTCAGACAGTCGAATAGAACAGACTATTTGCCCGCGGAGGTACAGACCTTCGTCCCGGCGAGACAAATATACGAACGCGCCCGCACCGCGCTACCTTCGTGTTGCCAATGCCCACACCTCTCATCACCCTTACAAGCACTAGCGCTAAACAAGGTGTTCCCTCATTTTCTCCATCCACGGTAACATGTGGACATGAATGCCATGCAGAAACCTGCCACCCGATCATGCAGCGATGCTGGGGGAATGCGGCACGAATGCACATCATGTTCATTTGCTCCATCCACTGTAACACGTGCACATGACAGCCATGAAGAAACGTGCCACCAGAGCATGCAGGGCTCTTGGGGAATGCGGCACGTAAGTGTATCATGTTCGTGACGGTCGGTAGTTTACATTATTGAGTGCTACATAAAAAACTACAGCTGGGTACATTCACCCTTAGACAATAGCCGCATGCCTACGGTACAGCTGTGCTGAGCAGTACCTTTTCGTTAGAGCGCATATCTTTTGTTGCTACGCTGACACCCTGTATAGCCTGGCCGTGATACACATCAATAAAGTTCGGGTTTTGCCTAAGCTTTTCCAAGATCTCCACTGGCGAACTCGAGCTCCCCAACGCAAGCAACAGAATGTCAGATACAATCCGCACCCGCCAATTCACGAACCTCGGTGACATATTTAGGGCTCTAGGCCTGGCAGATATATGCGTAGCAAAAGCGCAAGGCCATGAGGGGCGCTCACTTATTGGCGCCAGTTTTACCTATCCACAGCACGCCAAGCATCCTTGGTCCCAGCAGCTGCATGAACGTTACTGCCATGCCGCACTATGATCACAGACCCCTTGAATCACTAACGTCCGCTCTCACACCAACGCGAACAAAAGCCCTTGGACAACGCGAGGAACATATGCTCACTCTACGGGACGTCTGTTTATGCTGTACATGGTATGCTGGTGCGATTTGCCCCCCAAGCCAGCTAACCACTTGGCAGAGCGTGTGTACGAGACTCACATGCAAGCAGAAGCTCTCATCGAACACATCAGCGCAGCGTGAGAAGCGGCTTTGTCCTTAGCAGGGAGACGCTGTGCATCGTCATCATTATGCATGACTCTACAAGGTCTACCGGTACATTAATCTCACCAACACTGCAGGCACATTGAAACTGAAAGCAATCTTACCCACAAAGAGGATAAGCAAAATACACTGGCACAATTCCGTGTTGCACACGCGCAGCGGTGGGAGCACATGATAAAGCCACAAGTGTCAGTCTTCGTCGGAATCCGTCTCATTGAACAGAAGAGCTGGTCAGACGAAAGCTTGACACAAAGAGGATGCGCTAAACGGACTGGCGCGATTCCTTGTGCTACACGCGCAGCACTCGAGACACGACATGAAGTTACAAAACATAGTGTTTTACGACCTTTTACAAGAAAAAGTTGGTACAATAATCACAGCATCCACCAACCGCACGCCGCCGTAACACGATTGCACGGGATGCGACAGGATGCCTAGTAGCCTGGGAAAAGCATTTCCTGTGCAGCTAATCAACATCGCGCCCTGGTCACACTCAGAATGAGTGGCCACTTGACACTTGTAACTACTGATGACCTAGCGCGTCGCGCCAGAGCGTCGCGTCTAAACGCTCTCATGTCACCCAGGAGATTGAAGCTTACGAGGCAAGGACTTTTCCCGCCTTCTGCCATATTGCGTTTGTGTTGTCCGGGAGGTCCGTTAGGACTGTGACCCTTGATTGAACTGTAGCAACGCACACCAAGAAACCCAACAATCATCGCGATCAGTAAGACGAGGCTTGAGACTGCAGGCAACATGCCAGGCCAGCGTCTCCCTAAAGCGGAAACATCTTGGTGATCAGCTCGAAGTGTTCCTCCTGAAGGGCTTGCGTTTGGCATTCCGTCTTCTGACGCTTTTGCTCCAAGGAAAGCGTCTGCTGTGATGACAACTAACATTAGGGAGTGTAGAGCGTGCATTTTCGATGCAATAATTAAGGGACTGAAACGCTCTTGTGTTGCTCGTGAGTTTTTATTGCTGTCAGAGAGGAGCTTTTGCTTGTCTCAGCCCTGTTCGCTTTCTGTGGCCTGCAACGGTCCGCCAGCACACACAAGTGGGAAACTTTTTGGAAAGGCCTATCAGAGCCAATGCCAAACTCTCAAAATACATAGACAACAGTTAAGAAGTTAATCGAAACGTTTAGCCGTAACGTGAACAGTCTGCCGCGTCGTCGAGACTAGGGAGTCACATACTTGGACTCCAGGGGCACTCGAGTGTGGCATGCAGCCGGTTCTACAGAAGATGGGATGCTTTCACGAGTCATTGCGCACAGGACCACGCAAGAATTAGAGCAACTGGAGGATGTATTTATAAAAAACGCTCTGTGAATGTTTCGGTATTTATTTTGGCATTCGTTTCCGTGGACGTGAGACGGGCAAAACACACTGTGTCGGCCGTTTTGGAAGCGGACCGCTGGAACAGCAGCCTTGTGGCGATCGAGCGGAGGAAAAGCTTCACCAAGTCACAACTGATTTGGAAGATACAATGTTTATTTAATCAGGCAAAGACACATGTGTGATTCTTCGTGTATATTTTGATTGGAAACAGATATGCAGCGGGCGGTCGAACCTAGTAATGCTGCTGTGCGGGCATGTACTGTCGTTGCAACACAACCATTTTTGAAGAGAACGAAGGATTCTTCGTTGAAATGAGGAAGATTCCCAGAATATGGATCGTAATTTTTGGAGCATATTCACCAAATAATGAGCTAGCCGCTGCCAGGGTGGCAGGCGTTTATGTTTGAAGGCGCTGCGCGCGAGTATATATTCGCCGACAAACAAAGGCGAACATGTCATGTCAACATTGTGCCAATGTTGATTTTAAAAGCTTTTTAGTTATTGCGCACGCGTTGGAGCTTCTGCGGTAGCCGAGCCAGACATAGCCCCCCCAAACTGAGTTGCCCTGTAGTAAGCAGCAAGCAGAGGGCTGAGGCTCGCGAACGCAGCAGTTAGACACTTGAAGCGCAGCGGTAGTGCAGCGCAATTGACTTGGTAGACAGAGTGTGGCAAGAGCTGAGCTAGCCGGGCTCTAACTGGAGTGCAGCGCCGCCAGACTGCAGCCGTTCCTGCCTAGTTTCCAGTTCCCAATGGCCAAGGAAAATGAATTTTCGCAAGAAAAGGCCATTAGCATTCACGAGAGCTTTGCAGTTACCTCGAAGAAACCTGCAGCCGAGCTCATTTCACACAGAGAAAGTGCTGAAGCTCAAGACGAGGGCTTGGCTGCACAGTCGCCAGGGAGCAGAACAGCCTACGGTCTTGAGAGCTGGAAGTCTATGTCCTGCACAATGCAGCGGCACGCAAATGTGCTGAAGTATGAGCGCAGCAGCAACCGCAGGCACAACGCTATTGCGGCGCTGAAGCGGGTCTTTATGGACGCCTCAGTGCCCAGCCTTTCTACAAAAGAGCGTTTGCTTTGCTGCTGGATCCGCTGCTGCTATGTCTTTCGGAGCCCGCCGAAAAGGCACGGCTCCTCGCAGCCAGTCTTCTCTTTAAGCTTTTCTGCGAAGCAGCAGCAGTGGACAAAACCCCGGGCGAAGTGCTGCGGGCGCTGACTGCCAGCTTTGGCTCCGAAGACATTGAAAGAGTGGCTCACCTGGCTCCAGTGATGCTCCCAGATCCCGAGTAGAAGCCCCTGCAGGCGACGCCCATAGAACAGAGTGACGAAATGCGGCAGAGTCTGTTCAAGTTGCTCCAGCTGGTGCTGCACAGAAGTTCAGATGAAGCCGTTTTGAGCCACCTAGACTTGGCCGTAGGCCTGCTGCACGCCCGCACAATGGCTGTGTGCCCTAAGGTGAAGTCTTTGGCTCTGGAAGCCGTCGTTGAGCTCTGCAGTCGGCACCAAAACATGCTGCTGCACTCCAATGAGCCGCTGTCGAGGTCACTTCTTTCTTGTTTCATGCACCAGCACTCGCGAGTCCGGAAGGGACCTCGTCGCGCACTCACGCTGGTGCTTTCTTCCGGCTTGTAAAAGTACAACGGCGAGATTATTCACATGCTGGCTGGCTGGCGGGACCTCAACATAGTGCCCGTCAAGAGTTTGTACAAAGTCAGAATCACAAGGAACTACTTCGCGGAGTTGCTGGCAGACCTCTCACCGCTGGTGCGCATGTTTTTCTTCGACACTGTTGGCTACTGGATGCTCAATTTGCAAGACAAGGCGGACTACAGAACTTGGCTGTTTCCTTTGCTGAGCTGCTATTCGATTCTTCTCGGCCAATTCAGCAGCTGGCGTTTCTCCCTTTGGAGCAGCTCGGGAGGCACTACGAACAACTTCACGAAAAGGATTTGAGGGAAATCAAACACCAAAATCAACTCAGAGACCCCGGCGAGGAGCTCGTGGGTGGCACCCCCAGGCCTTGCCTGGGAGTACGCACCATGATTCGGACATGTTTCCGATGATTTGCAAAAACCGTTTTTCAACCCGTTTCAGATTTCAAAGAAGCCTTCTACACGGCCTCCGCCCGCCTTCTGGTGGTTTCGTTCACCTTTATAAAAGAAGCTTCTGTGGAATGGCTCGACAGCCGCTTTGCAATTTGCTGCAGATTCCTCGCGGCGCCGCAGCAGCACGCAACAGCAGGAGTGGAGTCTCACAGAGTGGCTCTGCAGCTCTTGGGGGCCTTTGCTGACCCGAAAAACTACTGGGAAATTGCAAACGACGCTCTAAGGGAGAATTTCAAGTTTACGCTGCAACACTCAGCAGCCTGGCCTGCGAGGGGCCAGTTTTGCGCCGAATTGCCCAGGTGCTTTCTTCCATTCATTTGCTGCAAGTCCTATCTGCGTGTTGCTGCTGAGGACCTGACGCAACTCGTGCAGGTTCTGGTGTCTGGAGTTCCAGGTCAAAACGAAGCTCTTTCGGAAGAAACCTGGCGTCATTTGCTCAGTGTAATTTGCTCTTTAGCAGG